GTGGGGGGGCGGTGAGCAGTTGGATTGTGGGTGGCCATAGATGGAGGAATCGAGGGTATTCTGAGTTTTCTAGTTTGGGAGTCTGAATTAATCATGGTACCTTAAGATGGAAACTACAGAAGCAGCACATCTTTGGGGGAACAAGGTATGAGTTTGAGGTGCCTTGAACACCCTTCAGAGAAGTCCAAGAGCTAGTTAGAAATACAGGTTCTTGAGGTCAGGAGTGGGATCAGTGCCGTAAAGCAATAAATTTGGGAATTTGGAATGCATTGATGTAAAGATAGTAGACCCAGCGTGTAAAGAGTCCTTGGCCCAGTTAGTGATCTCCTGTGACTCATCTTTTAATCCTGTGTTCAACCAGATGTTTGTACATTCCACAAGCATTTATTAAGCTCCTGCTAGGTGCATCAAAATGAAGATCAGATTCCTCAATTTGAAATTCCTCCTCTCATGTCTCCTAGCCATTCATTCCCCCACGCTGAGTTTCCCAGACAGGTTGCTCAGGTTCCTGCTTCCTCACTTGCTCTCAGTGTCTCTCTGTTTAGTACCACGAGCCCTTAAGTTCTGTTGGAACCCTCCTTGTCGTGCAGCCTGCCTCCTCGCTCCCCTGTGCGCCGGAACTATACCTCCCCAGCTGTGCTCATCTGACTCACCGCCCTCATTTCAAGTTCCCGGGGACATACGGCTCACTGTGGGGTGCTCTGCTTCCGACCCAGTGCCATGTGGGGTGCAGGTATTCACTAAACACGGGTCAAATTGAGCCAGAAGCCTCTCTCAACTCAGAGGAGTAGTGTCAGTCATGTACAAGCCTAAGCTGCAAAGCTTAAGCTTTGCTCAGGCTTAACTGTGGCTCACTCTTTTCAAAGTGCTATTAACATAAGAGTAACATTTTTTATTTTATTTTATTTTTTAAGAGTAACTTTTTTAATTTTTTTAAAATTTGTTTATTTAAATTAGTTTCACGTATATAGCACATTGGTTAGACATCTACGTAGTTCATAAATTGGTCCCCCCAATCGCTCCCTCCTTCCCCTGGCCTTCCATCTAGCTGTCGTATTAATGCTAACTGCATTAATTCCCTTTGTCATGTTCCCCATCCCCATGACCAACTATCAACTACTAATTTGTACTTCTATAACCCTTATCCCAGCCCCCCTCCCCTCTGTCTGTCACCAAGAGTAACATTTTTTAAATGTCACTTAATGATACTTTAAATTAAATGACATTTAAATTTTTTTTTAATATAATTGTTATGAAATCACTTTTTGGTTCAAAACCCTCCAGAGTCTTCCAGCTTCACTTTGAACAAAATCTGACCCTTTACCTCTTTACCTGACTCTTCCTGCACCAATGCCACCCCACATGGCCTCTGCTCTCCTACCCACCCTTCTCACCGTGGCACGTTCCCTCCTGCTGCAAGGGCCTCAAGGTTCCTAGACCACGAGCAGCTCCTTCCTGCCCCAGTACTTGTGGCCTCTTCTTCCTGGAATGCTGGCCCATGGCTCTCTAGGTAGTTGGCTCCTTCTCCCCAATCTCAGTTTAAATATTGCCCCTAGATAAAGCTTATTTTTCAAACATTTTTTGGAAGTATGACATACAGGCAGGAAAGCAGATGTGTCACAAGTTAGCATTCATGTGGCTCAGTGCATTTCCACAAATGGAACATACCCGTGATGTAACTACCATCCCCGTTTGCTCACTGAGCGCCCCACCCAAGGGTGACCACTTACATGGCACCAGCAATATAATATTAGCAAGGGCTTTAACTAAGACCTCTGCAGACATGGCCTCCTGGATCAGCCCAAGCAGGTGGAATTGACTATCTCAGTTCCCGTGGCACTTTTCTCTTTTAGCATCCTGTCACCTCTCTGTCACTTTCTGGGGTTGAGGTTACATGTGGATTTCCTATTGACATTGTTGCTGTCTGTCTCCCCCTCAGGACCATAAGCATGAGGGGTCCCTGAGGGCAGGGCCCCATCCTCCCTGTGTTGTGTTAAAATCCACTAGAGTACTGGTTGCCACTGGGCCACTGACTGGAGCAGGAGTGAAGCATACGCGTTTCTCTGTGAAAAATGCTATGTCACAAAGTGAAATGCTATACAAGCTGCTTTTCTGAATTTCTCGTCTTTTCCTTTTCCTCAGGGGACTGTGAAGCAGCTCTTGCTATTCGCTGAGACAGAGGGGAACCCATGCTTCTTTGACATCTGTGGAAATTTCCTGGTTGTAGGGACAGACTTGGCTCACTTTAAAAGCTTTGATCTATCCCGAAGGTACAATTTTTGTCCAAATGAAGATGTTACATTTGAAAAATTAGGAGATAATGTGGTAGGTAGAAAATGGATAGCAGCTAAAAAACTATGTCCTCATTTCAACATTAACATGCCACTTAATTTTTTGAAACACTGTATACTGTCACTTAAATTCTTAATCTTTGCATGATGGAGAAAGGAGCAGCACAGGGGAGGAAGAAGGGGGTTGAACAGAGGATGCTTGGGGGATTTCCTAGGGTGTTGAAACTTTCCTGTGTGATAGATACGCAACACTGTGTGTTTGTCAAAAACCATGTAACTTCATAACACAAAGTGAGCCTTAGTGTGTGCAAATTTTTAAAAAATCTCTTCAATTGTGGATCACAGAATGGAATACAGAAGGTTACAAAACAACCTACCTTCATTACAAATGTGTGAAACGAGCTCCCTGGAGAGGGTATGGCTGACCCAAGCCACTCTGGGAATGAGTAGCAACTGTAAGACTAAAGGCACAGGGACTGCACACAGCATGGCGTTACAGTTGACAAAGTTAATTCCCACAGGGGGACAGGGTGACAATCTGATAGGTACACTGAAAGTGAACAGTGAAGTGAATGGACAGAGGGTGGTGGAGCCAGGTCCTCACTGTTGGGGTGGGAGGTTGCAGACAAGCAGGAGGAGATGAGAGTGATCCCTGTGGTGATGGATTAGAGCTGGAGACATGTGTTCAAAGTTATGTTTATCTTAATATAGATGCAGATGGATACATATGAAAATATTTATAGATAAGTCTACACACCAGTTAGTGCACACACATTACCTTGTTCTGTCAGCCGAGGGCCTAGGGGTAAGGACGCCCCAAGAGCAACGAGCACACCAGACTGGGGTTTCTAACAGTACTTCCACACCAAGGTCCTTGGAGAAATGGCTGTTCTAGGAAATGTACAAGATAAGCCTAGAGCATCTTATGTGCAAGAAAGTTAGAATGTGCTTTAAAAAAATACAGCTATGGGATTTGTTAAAGGGACATAGGAGCCAGCTAGAAGAGCTCCCAGTGGCCAAAACTGGAACAATTTGAGCAACAAAATAAAATAGCATTATGTTATAATCCAAAGTAGAAAATAAATATGAGTTCATACTGATATAAGTAAGTGATTGAGTAAGTTAATAAGTAGAGGAGAGGAGACAAATTTCCTATACAGAAGAATTATAAATAATTTATGTAGATTCTCCTCCCTTATGGAGAGAAGCATAACTCCTTATTCCATGAGTGTGGGCTGCACTAGCGACATCCTTCCAAAGGGGACAGTATGGGGAGGGGGAAAATGAGTAACTTTATAGACACAACTTTGGACAGGAGAGACCAGGGTCCACATCACAGAGATGAGTCATGTCAATGACACGACCCTTGATATGATGATAATGGCACTGTACCTCTGGGCTCTTCTCCTCAAACCCACACCCCAGTCTAATTATGAGAAAAATATCAGACACATCCCAGTGCGGGGACATTCTATAGCAGCGGTCCCCACCCTTTTTGGCACAAGGGCCTGGTGCTCCTATGAGAATCTAATGCCTCATGATCTGAGACGGAGCTGAAGTGGTGATGCCAGTGCTGGGGAGTGGCTGCAAATACAGATGAAGCTTTGCTCATTCACCTGCTGCTCACCTCCTGCTGTGCAGCCCAGTTCCTAACAAGCCACAGACAAGTACTGGTCCATGGCCCAGGAGTTGGGGACCCCTGCTCTGTAGAACAGCTAACAATTCCTCCTCAAAACTCTTGAGGCATCAAAAACAAGAGAGTCCGAGATGGTCACAGCCGAGAGGAGCCTAAGGAGACGTGATGACCAAATGTCATGTGGGTCCTGGTGGGATACAGGGACAGGAAGAGTGTGTTAAGAAAGAATTGAGAAAAAATGAATAATAACGTGAATAAAGTGACGAGTTACTACTATAAACCCAGTATTGTTAACTATGAGTGACAAACAAGAACCAACTAAATAGAGGAGGAATTTTTTAGTTCATCCATGTGATGGAGAACTATGCAAGTATAACAAAATGCGATGAAGCGATCCCTTTCTGAAAGGAAAGATCCCAAACCTGCTGCAAGGGGAAATGCAAGGCCAGAGCAGCATTTTTAATAAGGTTCTTTGTGTAGGAAGAAGAGGAATAAGAGAATCATACATATTTGCTCTTAAGAACCTAAGAACTTTACAAACTCCCCCTGTATTCTGAGCCTGGCCCATTTCCAGGGGCACAAGGAACCCCGGGGTGAGAGCAGCTAGGCCGTCAGGTGGAACTCAGAGGTTCTGTGAACAAGGGTTTCGGGTCACTCCAAGAAGCAAGTCTTTACTCTGCACAACGAGTCTTCGGTTTGTGCTGAGATCCTTGTCCTTCTCCCTGCAGAGAGGCGAAGGTGCACTGCAGCTGCAAGAACCTGGCTGAGCTGGTCCCCGGAGTGGGAGGCATTGCATCACTTAGATGTAACGCCAACGGCAACAAGATCAGCATCCTCCTCAGCAAGGTGGGCGCTGCAGGGGTCCCGCCTCTGCCCCTCTCCTTCCATCTCCACTAGTTACCCTCAAAGGATCGTCATTCTTTCTGGCTGCCTTTTGTGTCCACTCTGTGTGGCTCTTTTTACCCCAGCTCCCCTTCCTCTTCCTCTTGTCCCCTCTCCAGGGTCTCCTCTCCCTGCTACCCCCACCTGTGTCCTCTCCCACCTGGTGCCATTCTTGTCCTCCCCATCTGCACAGCTTCTGTTTTTACCCGCCTCTCTTCATTTCTTATTTCATCAAAAACAGTGGTTTCTTCTTTACAGAGCCCCCTCTCCTCTTTTCTTTTCTGTCTCTTCTCATCCCTCAACTGAACTCTCTTGCCTGGCCCGAGGGAGTAACAGGACTGTTGAAGGCACCTTTAAGCCTCTTGCTTAGAGACGGAGCGATGTCATGGTGTAGGCGACTGCATGGCAGGTCTGAAGGGAGGGCATGTTCACCCTCTTCCAGGTGGATGGTGCCTTCCACCCTTTAGTATTTGTTCATGTTTTCATTCATTTGTTCATGCTCTTGTTTGTTCATTTAAGAGTTGATTACGGATTGCCTTTCTTATACCAGATATTTTGCTGGGCACTGTAGGTACGAACTGATCAGTTAAACAAGAAGACTCGGCCCCTCCTTCTGTGGTTGAACAGACATCTATCAAACAACGAGGCAAACAAGTACATTTTTACAACCCTGGTGAGAGCTGGGAGGACAGTGATCAGTGCCAGGAAAGCGAGTAACAGTGCGAGGAGATCAGTGCTAGGAGAGCGAGTCACTATCCAGGGAGTCAGGAGGCTCCCACATGAGCCGATGGTTGAGCCAAGCTGTGAGGCTGCAGTGGGGGAGCAGCCCGGTCGAGGCATCCAGAAAGTGAGTCCATCAGCAGAAGCGTGGTCTTGCCGAGGGTCCAGTGTCACAGAGGGGTGAAGCCAATGCTGGCATGGTCAGTGGGCTATCACGTAGGGCTGACGTTGACACAGGTGGAGGCAGGAGCATGATGTTGTAGTGTCTTTTTAGAGATGTTTGTACATGGTGGATTAAGGAGCCCAGGGCACAGAAGTCCCCTTGGCGCCCTCGCAGCCCTCCTCAGGGGTTGGGGGTTGACTGGCTGTGTAGGTAGGGAAGGGCAGAAGTTGTTTCTAACCCTCGCAACCGAGCCGTTTGCAGGGATGGTGGGGAGTCCTGTTTCAATGTGCTGAGTTTGAGGCATCTGAGAGGCAGTAAGTAGGCAGTTAAAAAACACAATCCTGGGTCTCAGAAGTGAGGTCTGGCTAGAGATAGGCGTCCTCGAGAGGAAAAGTGCAGCAGCTGCCAATCTGAGGACCAAGATGGGACCTGGGGAGGCTGAGGGAGTGACGTGGCTAGGGAGGTGGGGGCAGCTGAGGAGATGGGGAAGGGCAGTCAAGGACCACATGCCAGGAGATCACAGGTCACTTGTTTGTTCAGTATGTGGGGCAGTGCCAGGATATCTGTGCATGGACACAGAAATGGGGTTCACGGGCTGTAGGGAGGGCCTCGGCGATCCTGTGAAGGGCCATTTCCATGGGGCGAGGAGTGGGGACAGTGCTGTGACCACTTACTCCTGAAACCTGATTCTGAAGAGCAAAATGAGGTTGAGAGAGATTAACTGATGAGAAGAGGCAGAAGAGAAGGAAGTATGAAAGTCCAGGGAGAGGAGATGGGTGAGCACAGGTCGGGGGCAGGGGCAGCAAGAGCAGGGAATACTTGCCCATTGTAAAAGTAAAAATCAAAAAAAGAAAAAATTCAGTTAGCATAAGGGGGCGGGCCTACAGTGAAAAATAGCCCCTGCCCCCATATGCAGTCCCCAGGGATGAGGAGAGTAGGCTTTGGATAGGAAAGATGGGGGAGTGGAGGAGGAGGCGGCAGGTTGAGATGGATGCAGGCCCTTGCTCCCATAGAGACTGAGTGCTAAAAATTGAGGAGAGGAACTTTGCCCATCCTGTGTGTTGTAGATGTTGCTCCCAGTTTGTCGTTCGTTTTTCATTTTGCTATGTACTAGTGATAACTAAAGCTTATATTTTTCTGCAGTCAAATCTGTTGATGATTTTGTGATTTCTTCTACTGCTTTTAAGCTTGCAGTGTCTTCTTTAGTCTAACATTTTGGCACGTTTTCATTTTATTACCTTTTCTAAAGTACTTGTATCTCATTTACTATTTTCCTAGAATAAAGCTTTTAACAGTCTTCCTAAGTTCTTGGCACTTGTTGCCCCTAGCAACCAAGCCAGTTCCCTTTTCTTACTTGTGTGTGTGTGTGTGTGTGCGTGTGTGCGTGTGCGAAGCCAGTTCCCTTTTCTTACTTGTGTGTGTGTGAGTGTGCGTGTGTGCGTGTGCGCGCATACTTCTCCTGAGTGAGGATCAAGAAGAAAGAAGTGCATACTTCTCCTGAGTGAGGATCAAGAAGAAAGAAGAGATGATAAGCAATGATGATAGCGTTCACAATAGTAGCTGTGGCATCTTGCACCTAACACTTCCTGTTTGACAAGTGAGGAGACTGAGATAAGTTCCTTGTCCAAGGACACAGCCGGCTGTGCTGTGGCTGAGATCCCTGCTCACAGCCCTGACTGCGATGGCAGAGTGGCCAGGACTCAGGAAGAACGAACGAGAGAATCCCATGGGGTTGACCAAATAAAAGAGAATGTCTGTAGGGAGTGGAGAGAGTGGAGCACAGGCAGGATGGAGAATTGAGAACCCGGAGCACTTGGGAGAAGATTCCCAGAGGGAGAGCAGCCTCATTCCTTCAATGTGGCTGCAGAACAGTTCCTCAGACACCCAAACCACCCACCGCGCAGCTGAATCAGACTTGGTTTATCAGAATCCAGATTCCTTCTTGTTCCCATGGTTAATCCACCTCAGCCAAGATGACATCGCACTCAAGTCAGTATCGAGAACAGCTGGACAGCTGTCGTCGAACCCTTTTTTAGGGTTCGTTTTCAATTCTCTGATATTATAAAGTAGCAATTCAGCAACCATTCAGTGAGATGAAGGTAAATTGACGTTGAAATTCTGAATCATGGAAGTATGCTGGCCACAGTGGCTGGTGGGTCATTGGCACCAGGATGTGTTTTTCTTAGACGTGTGGTCACCATGAACTTACGGTTTTCTCTTCCCCTAGGCTGACAACAGCCCTGATTCAAAAATCTGCTTCTATGACGTGGAAATGGACACCATGACCACCTTTGACTTCAAGACAGGACAAATTGATTGGCGAGAGACATTGACCTTTAATGGGCAGGAAACTAAGAAGTAAGATTGTGGTTTGGGATGATTTTGTTGAAACAATGTTGAAAATGACACTCAGTTACTTGTCAACTTCTAAGCAGGTTTTGCTAAGTTATACTTTAAACTTCAAAAGACCCCAGCAATTACTCACAGTGAAGATAAAACATAAAGCAGAAACACACAGACAGTTGGGATAGATTTGGGTCTTTAATCTCTTATTTTCTAGATTCTAGGATTCTAGAATTAGCTTCTGAAAGGGCTATGAATGTGATATCTACAGAAATGGCCCCAAATCACAGGATAGAAACTCAGTGAACATCAGACCCATCAGCATCTCTGATGTTAGGGAGGGTGCGCGCCTTGTAAAGAATGTACTTCTAGAAAAAATAATTGTCTTTCTTCAGGGAGTTTATGTAACATATATTTGTAGTTCCTTCTACTACTAAGAAAATAATAGAATTTAAGTGCTTATACTGGCCCCTGTCATTGGAGCAGCAGTGTGGCTGATGCTCCAGACCTGTGTATAAGCTGTGAGAGCAAGTGCAGAGGTGAGAAGCCCACAGGCTGATGATTCAGGGATGATTGAGCCAGTGCTTTTCTCTGGCCACCCTGTTCCTTTTGCTCCTGTCACATCTCCCTCCTTCCCCTGTCTAGCCTGCCCCGCATGTTCCCACCTCTCTCCTCAGAATCTCTTTCTGGAACCTTCTTTCACCTGGCGGCTTAAACTCGCACCTGCTGGTGGCCCCACCCAAACACACTCATCTTCTCTTCTCACCAAGTTTGGCTCTACTTCTCCATCTCCAGATGTCCCTAGAATTCCTTGCCATCACCTCAAAAATAGACCCCAAATCACTCCCTAGAGACCCTCTTCTTGTCCATAATACCATTTTTCTGGGTCACCTCATCTAAAACCTCAGAACTAACCTTTCCTTTAACCCTACTCTCCATAACTGTAATCCCCAGTGTTCTTGTTTTGAAATGCTTCTGAGTCACACTTTCCCTTCGACTTTCTGCCTGTCATCTGTGCTTTCCTCCCAGGAGCTGCAGGAGCCTCTGAGCCCCGTCCTGGTGTCCACTTGCACTACTCACCAGACTAGTCCCAAGAGATCACTGGTGCTCCATAAGTTCCCATAAATGCTTTCATCTATACCACTGTGCTTGTCTACCTGCCCTGCTTTTTGCTCGGTCCTGGAGCTGTGACATCTGTGAGGGCCACTGGTTTCCTGTAGGGTCAGGTCTCTGTGCTCTGCATAGCCCCTGCACAGGCACATGGAGCCCATCCCTGACTTGTCACACTCCTCCAGGTGGCAGTAGGGTGTGGCTCACTGTCTTCCATCAAGCGCCATCCTTCTTTTAGGGTCTGATCCATTTTTTGCCACCCAACCCATTTTGTCTCCCTAAAGTTCTTCTTCTTGTTCTGGACACGTAACACATGGAGATTTAGAGGTGGGAGGGGCCAGGGGTAAATGCACCACATCACACAGCTGGGACTGGAACCCAAGCCCAACAGGGAGTACGCTCCTGCCTCAAGGTCCACCTGCTGGTCCTGGACTTTGGAGCCTGCATCAGAGACCCTCCTCAGGACCTCTAGAGCCAAAGCCTCATTGTCTGTCTCTCCAGCTACACTCCACTGGGACTCTTTCCACCAGTTTTTTTAATCTGCAAGAGTATAATCAGGCAGGCTGCATAGCAACATGGCGTGTGAAGGTGCTTCCAAGCTGGGCAGCCTGGGACTCAGATGTGTGTGGCCTGCTGACGCTGATCGGAGATTGGCCTGAAGGTGTTTCTGGAGGCTGAGGGCAAGAATGCTCTCCCAGCATTCTGGACGGGTCTCTTTTTCAGGAACCATGCCTTTCCGGACGAGAGGCTAGCACATCTTGTTCCTGTGAGCCACTTCTGGGATCAAAGTGAGCCCAGGCTGTTCGTGTGTGAAGCTGTTCCTGAGGTAATGGGAGCCCACCAGCAGCCCACAGACAGGAAGGCCCACACCGAGGACAGCGCTGGCCCCACGGTACTACATGGCCGTGTTTGCGTTTAGACTTGTGGGGGCTTTAGACAGTGTGGGCTCACAATCTTGGTTATGAGGTTTATGGGAAAGTTACAGGGAAATTCATTCACATGCAGCAGAGCATTCCCCTCTAGGATGCCTGCTACATCTCTCCCCTCTGGGTGTGCGCCAGGGGCTGGCCCCGTCCTCTCTGGTCTGACTCAGTGTCATACTTTGTTCTTTATCCCAGCTAGCACATGTTATTTTCTCTCTAGGGCAGAACTCTTTATTGAAACAGTTAATATAAATTAACCCCCTGGAGCTAACACGTCCTGTGACTAGGTCACCGAGGCGAGGCAGTCTGCTGACTCCTCATTCACTTCACAAACTGCCATGACCTTCAGACAAGGCCGATTCCCACCGAAGTGGCCTCCTTGCCTCAGTCACTGCCCTCTGCTCTTGCCACTCCACTCGTTGAGCTCTGTGGGCCCTCCCTCCCCTACACTGACGACTCTTAGGGCCCCATCCCCCCATCCCAGGGGCCAGGACCTTGACCCTTTCCAAGTCTTGTGTCTTGTGGGATATCCAGCATTCCCTGGGAAAGCCTGGTGGTCTGCCGTGCTTTTCCCTGACCCACCTTGTTCCAGAAGAATTTATAAGTAGGGTCCTCAGTAAGTCAGCAAAAGATAGCAGCCTCTAACTTTAGGAGGCTTATCTCCTGCCAAAGGAATTTCCCTTCCAGGATGGTAAGAGTTTTGACCTCCAGAGATGATCGATAATCAATGTCCGTACCCTGAGACTCCCAGAAGCAAATCCAGTCCTTGGTTCTAAAACACTTAAGTGGTAAAATGTATTGAGGTGGTGTCTCTGTCATTCGATTGAGAGAAGCAGAGACATTGCCAGAGGAATTTTCTTCAAGATAGAGGGCCTGGTGACAAGTCCAGACAAGTCATAAGAATGTGCAAATTGATAATGAGTGAAAGATGAGGGAGCGTGCGTGTGAAGGGCACTTCTTGGCAGTTTGATCAGATAGCTCTTTTGGTCTTTTATGAAGACGATGAGGAATTGTAAGAATTCACACAGCAAGGGAAGGCTCTGGCACCCCTCAACCTATTGATTTCCTGTTCAGAAGGGGTTACAGCCCGATGTTGCTGTTCTGTGTCCCACAGAACAGGGTCCTATGGAGTCCCTCACCTCTTCCCTTGTATTTCCTGTTCCTCAAAAGCAGAAGCAAGAATCTTTTTGTTGTCTTTGCTCTGGGTGGTTTTTAAATCAGAGTGAAAAAAACTGAAGGGTGTGTCTTTTGAAACACTAGAGCTCTTCTGAGTTTCATTCACCAACTGGGTGGGAATGATTAGTCTTTGCTACAAGGAAATCAGTCAGTGAGAAGGGCCTAGCCGCTCTCAAACTCGATGATGCGCATCCTTCCAGAAGATGCGTCAGTTTTTCCAAAGTGCAGCAGATGGCAGCGGAGACTGGCATGCTTGCCATATACCCAGGAGGAGAGCGGATTATCTGTGTCAGTGTGCTCGTCCTCTGTTTTCTCTGTGTTTTATGTAAATACCCCAGCAATGGAAATGGGAATTAGATGCAAAATAGAAAAGTATATTGCCAAACTAAAACCAGAACAATATTTTCCCCTCTCTTCCAGGTGGACGTGTTGATTCTGTCCTTCTTTATTTCTGAAGAGCATGGCTTCTTGCTTCAAGACAGCTTCCACCGGCCTCCCACCTATCAGTCTCTTCTGGGAATGGAAGTGCCCCATTATTACTTCACCAGAAAGGTATGAACCCCACAGGCGCCAGGTGGTGTTCTTGGGGCCCCCTCCTTGGCAGGGCTAGGGTTTCCCAGGCACTGGAGTCAGGTGCCTTAGCTCGTCGCTCATTAAACAAGGCAAAACATCAGCTCTAATATATCCCCTGAAATTCCAGCAAATGTGGGATCTCCCATGTTAGGAGACTCACAAGACGTGGCTTTGCTCTCAAGACAGACAGCGTTGTGCTGAGGAAGAGGGTCCTGGTGTCACTCAGGTATCCTCCCAGCATTTTCCCTGAAGGCCCCACACCCTACAGCTTTCCTGTCTTCTTTTTTAAATTCAAGCTTCTTTTTAAAAATTATATATTCCTATATCCACTGTAGAAAATTTAGAAGCTATAAAGATCAAAGATGATGCAAATCTCCATGGTCCCAGCCCCCAGAGTTGGTTGCTGCGAACAGATTAGCATGTGGCCTTTCAAGAAGTTTCTGTACTTACCTACGTGTGTGCAAGTTACATACATAAAGTTAAGTTTGTGAGAGAATGGTTAAGCAGACACATGCGCACGCCCAGCAAGGTTACTTTGGATGAGTTAGTTGCCTTCCCTGGGACTTGGTCTCTTCGGCAGCACAGCCCCTTGATCTGTGAATGTTATGTGACAAGTTGTGTGTGGGTGTGTGGTCCTGAGGCTGTGCTCAATCTGCACATGTCACGGTGTGCGTGTTCGAAACAATGAATCTGGGTGCACTCGGTTCCCACGTCCCTAAGCTCACCACATAAAACAGTGTCACATGGCACAATGAATAGCATAGGAACTGACTTTTACTTGTGTTAAATGGAATTATCTTTGTGAAGCTTGGGAACGGGCTCATGTGACTCAAAATTCCATTTTTTTCCATCCCTTATTTAAAATAGATTAGTTCTCCCAGACTGGTGTTTTCCTGAATTTCATTCTTATTTAATGCTCCTTAGGCATTTTCATTTCTCTTTGATTCGAGAACCCAGAAGGTTGGGAGAGACATTTAACTTCTTTCTATTGAGTTGTCCCCCATTATTCTCACAGACTGGACTTTGGTTTCTCCCACACACTCATGCAGCCTTTCTCTCCCTTGTTTCTCCTCCCCTGTGCCCACCCTCCAGTGAGGAGACACGTGTGATACAGTGTAAGACGACTCCTCATTTCTCCTGTCACCTTAACTCTGCAGTTTTCTCAAGATCTTTTTTTTCCTTTAAGCCGTAGCTGCCAGTGCGACAGTACTTGCTGCTTCACTTGTGTCCTCTTTAACCAGGTTTATCAAGGACACTCGCAGTGTCAGCTCCTTATGGGAGCAGCATGCCCACGTCACTCTGCAGAGCTCTCATCTTGGTGACACGTATGGCACAAACAGGCTGTCACCTGATGTTTGTAGTACAGGAAATAGTTTGTTTGCCCACATTTGCAATGTCGGAAGTCTTTTTAATTTGACACTAAAGTGCTTATGATGAATGGCCATAAGCATCGTTTCTTTAAAAGCTGCCCTTTTTCTGATTACTGACCTGTCTTCATGTCCCTCAGCCACATCCTAGCAGTTCCCATTCACACACAGGAGGCTACAGATGAGAGTCGACTGCCCTGAGTCCCCAACTCCTGCATGTGGCTGGGGCTGGTGCCTCAGTCCCTCCCTCGAAGAGCTATGATGAGAGCAGTTGGCAAGTGCTGGGGCAGGTGGCAAGTAAAGCAGGACCCACACGCACTCATGTTTCTGTAAGAAGTCCCACATGTGCTCACAGAAGCAGGACTCTGACTAGAACACAGCAAGGCTGATGGATGTCAGGTGACTGCCAGGTGACTGTTAAACCACAATAGGCAGCAGTGCCCTGGTCGCTATTCCGCATGCACGTGTCTGAAGGTTTGCCACTCAGCACAAAATCAGTCCAAACTTTAGCCTCCTGCTCATGTGACGCAGCCTACACACGGCCATAAACCTTGAATTTAAGCTGCCATGGACTGTGGGCTGACTCAGGGCTTTTGCTTATGCTCTACTTTGTGCCAGGAAGGCTCTCGCCTTCCACACCTGGGTCTGACACATCCTGCTAGTGTCTCAAGGCCCCAGTCAAGCAGCCCCTGAAGTTGGGATCCTCAGTTGAACCTGAGAAGCAGCAGTGAGATGGAAGAGCTGCTGAGAATTGAGCTGGAGGCCAGTGGTGGAGGCTAGCCAGTGCAGGGGGCCCTGGTCCCAGGAGGGTGGATCATGATCTCCCTTTACACGGGGGAGCACATGTGTACTCCGGAGGAATGGAGCCTGCAGAGAGGAAGAAGCAGACAATGCAGAAGACAGGGTGGTATGTGTGGGCTCCAGCCCAGAGGAGAGCAGGCGGGCACCCAGCAGGCAGGAAGGAAGCTGACATTTGAGGACACCAGTCCCCTCTGTAGGTTATATTTCAAGGTGTTGGATATAAAACCGCCTTAAGCAGCACACTGTAAATTTGTACTTGTATTCGGACCAGATTCTGCTCTTCCTCTCCACGCACATGTTGAGGGAGCTCTGCCCCAGGTCGACAATTCTTCTGAGAAAAACCAGTGGCGCACACTCCACTAGTCCAGGTTGTCATTTTGGAAGATTTCACTTGAAATCGTGCTGGCATTACATCATTTTAAGACCTTATGCATATGTATGTGGGTCTGACTTGATAGTAAAAACTCCTTCTAGCTTACAAAACAAACCTGGGAGGTAAGGATTTTCGCAGCCAGTTTATAACTGCTGAAAAGTTGGTTAGGAAGTCAGAGGCTGGAAAATGGGTTCCTATGCATGGACAGCCTTTGCTTATCCGCTGTCTAAAACCATAGCCAAAAGCTTTGATAACTTCAAATGAGGACAGAGCCTCTGATAACTTCACTGCATTTGGCAGGGCCTCTTGCTAAGTGTCTGCTTCTGTCTGCAGAGGGACCCCCATAGCTAACATATCTCAAAGAAGAGTCTCAGTGTAGGCATTAGTTTTACATGAACTACAAGTAAACAGTGCCCTTTTGTCATTCAGCCAGGAGAAGCAGACAGAGATGACCAGGTGGATTCAGGGCAGCACTGCATCCCCCAGGTGGTGGGCAGGAGGCCCCTGCGAGACTTCGTGGGGCTGGAGGACTGCGACAAGCCCACGCGAGACGCCATGCTCAACTTCAGTTTCTTCGTCACTGTCGGAGACATGGATGAAGCTTTCAAATCTATCAAACTCATCAAAAGGTGAGGTTTCTGTTGACTGGGGTGTCGAAGGGACGTGTACACTCTTAGAATACTTTCTCTGTGTCTCTCTTCCCCTTCTAAATGAGATTCTAAGAATCACTAACTCTTCTGTGACTCTGTCGTGTTGCATTTCACTCAATGAAATGCCGCTGCGCTTGCAGACGCCAGGACCCGCCTGGCACGTTGTACCACAGAGTAGCGCGTTTTGGGTAGCACAGCTGGGTGTAGGAAGCAGGTGAGCCCGGCTCTTGGCCTCTGCAGTGCTCAGAGCCTCTTGAGCTGTTATTTAGTTGTTTTGATTTATTTTATAGTGATCTAAATACTTCCTAGTCGAAAGTTCTGCAGTTGTTAAATATTCATATCTGTCTCTTCGGGAAGAATTGCTACTAAACAAAAAAGTTTTATAATAAACACCCAAAACAGTACAGTGAAAATGCATTAAAATCGATCTAAAAGAAGTTTTCAATCAAAAGCTGTCTACAAACGGCTTCCTCTCTGTTCCAAGAGCATCGGACAGGTTTTAATCTCAAAAGGGTGGGAAAATTATTGAAGAATGAAACTGAAGTGGGAAAAGAAAGCTGGGAAATTAAGTTGCCTGGGCCAAATTCTCCTCATTTGTAACATGGAAACACCTTTCAAACTAGCATGTGACCCTAGTCCCTATCTTATTTCTAAAACTATGTGACCAAACTTTGTTCCAATTGGCGGGGCCTTTTCCATACTGGCCACATGGACAGATGGACCCTCAGTTTGGGAAGTAAACTAGAGCGTCTGGATGGCATAGCCCAACCTTTCACCAATCACCTTTCATTTAGTATAAACATTATCACAGACCATAGTCAACCACATGGCCAACTTTAAAACTTTAATATACATTTATATAGTCATATACATAATATTATTAAAATTATACATCTTAAATATTCCATTATTCTTTTAAAAAAACACAATTATTTTTAGCATATGATTTGGGGGAAAATCCATTGTAGAAAAGAAGTTCAGAGGGAAGAAGCTCAGATCTAAATGTTCCCACGAGGTACTGGTTGTGGGACAGAAATCTGGCTGTTTCTTCACTGGATACTGTTTATTGTAGATGGTCAGGCCAAAGATGCTTTTAAATCATTCTCAATTGCTTTGTGTTTTTTAAAGCACCAACTCCAGTCCACCATTTGTTCTGACTATCCTGGGGCAATATGGCTTCGAATTCCGGACTGGTCTCCTCACTTCTCTGGAAGGTTGAAAGCTGCAAAGCTGCTTTCTCAGGGATCAGTCTAGTAATAGCCGGTGTCTTACCCTGGCTCCGCTGGGCACCTGCCAGCTCCCAGGATCAGTTTCTTGGGCCAGAGGTTGGCAACAGTGATTCCACCTCTAGGTGGCGCTAGCTCAAGCAGTGCGGCAATTAGAGATCTGTCCTTGTCCCTGTCAGTCCCTGTCCCCCATCCCAGGTCCTCAGGGGTGCGGCCAGTTTTTAGATGTTTCCTGTTCAGCTCGAGGAGTTACGCCCATTCACCTCACAGATTTTGGAGCTTAGTTGTTTGAAATCAGTGTAGCATCGTGAAGGTATTCTATAGCCCACCAAGCATTTGGCTGAAAACAAGCTAAAGATTTTATAAGGGAAAACAGTGAACAATCTCTGAATTTCTTTAAACAAATAGACTTTTCCCCTCTTAATCCGCCAACTGTGGACCTGCCATTATACTACCACAGTGTCCAGAGTCTGTAGGAATGTGGGCTTCTGAGGCTTAGTTGAATGGAAACTTGAATGAGGACATGAGTGACCTGAAGCCATGCTTCCACCAGATTTTTAAAAATATCTTAACCCTTCTCTTACTGCCAGCACACAAAAATGACAGAAAATAGACCAGATTCTTTTCACTATGTGGCAGTGTAGATGGATACAACACACGTTTTAGACAGTGGTAAGAGGTTTGCATTTTATTTTAACTTAGAAAAATAATCAAGCGCAAACAGACGTTTCTAACTCCATCTTGTCATAAAGCCATAACCATCTGGTTATAAACTTTGAGCCACTCAAGGAAGATCACGGCCAGTTCCAGAAAATCTCCCTGGTGTTCTACTTCACCAAAGTAAAGGTGGCTGCAGATGCCCCTCTTGGCAGACATAGAATAAATTAACCCCAGACCAGGGTGCTGAGCAGGGTGGCCACCGCTCCTCACGTGCATCTCAGGTATTAGTCTCCTTGCGACATGCATGAGCGTGAAGCCAGGTTGTGAGTGTGTCAGGAGGAGGCTGGCACAGACAATATATGATCATATAATATATTTATATATAACAGTAAACATACCTGTGTATCGTACATATGCATATATAGGAAACCATATGAATTGCCCGCCTCCTCACAGGCAGTCCCTTGGTTTCTAGATTGTTCGTTACAGTGGATAAAGTCCTTAGCAGAGCCTCTCTCCAGCAACCCTCAGCATGGTGATTCCACATAGTCATTGTCTAGCCCACGGCGAAACCGCGCAGTCAGGGAGCGGCTGATGACAATCACCCGGGGTGCCATGCAGTCCTCTCTCCTGTGAAGAATGTTCCAGATGAGCATGGCTGCTGCTAGGGTGGCCAGGAGGCAGGCGCCAATGTTTAGGTAGCAAGACCAGGACAGACTGGTGTACGGGCCGATTCTATAGAACGTCACCAGCCCGATGACCAGGACAAAACCTGCAAATGAAAGACAAGTGTTGAGAAAGCCTTACTCAGAGCCAGGAAGAGGCCTGTGGAACTCCCAACATGGAGCCCACATGCAACCGAAGCTTCGTTTCCTCCCCGACTGTCTGTGCCCCTCAAATGGGCGATGAGCCCGATTCTGAGTGCTAGTGCTTTGGTGCTGAGCTGCTCTGTATCAGCCCTGTGTGGGTTTCTGTGACTTTTGGGGCCTGTGACTTGGAGCGGGGGCGGTGCATCTGCTCAGTCGTGGCACAAGATAATTTCTAGGGGCTTCATGAGAAAGCAGTCTGGTCCCACGTGCTCTTCCTGGAATCCTCCAGGTGTCAAGCTATTTTCTTAGTCGCCCTCCCCATGGAGGTGGCACTGACATTCT